CACGCCCCCTCCCAGCCCCGGAGGCTTCTCCCCCCTGAGCCAGGGCACAAGACATGTGAGCCGGGGTGCTAAAGGAACTGCGCTCTGGCTCACACTCCCTCCGGCTGAGAGGGAACCCTGCCTACAGCTCTCCCTCCTCCGCCCCTGTTGTCCATGAGCAGCCAGTCTTTACTCCTGTGCTCACCTCTGTCCCTGTTTCTCTCTCAGTCGGATTCCGAGGAAGATGAGGAGCCGGCAAAGAAGCAGCCGTCTTTCCAGGTGAGGAGGAGGACTTGCGTGCCAAACCAGCTGCCCCTGCTCGGGTTTGGAAGAGCAGAGCGCATCCCTCCGTCCTGCTCCTGGCTGCTCCGAGTTGGAGGGACGTGCCCACCTTCCCGTGCCCCCTGGAGCCTGGCTCTGGGCCCTCTGGGTGGAATTTTACTCTCAGGCTCCCGCTGGCCTGCTGGAGTTATTCCTGTTCCTGAAGGCTTGAACTTGAAATAACAGTGGCTGTTTTTGTTTGTGAACTGAGCACCACTGCGGCCTTTCCCCCAGATTTCGGCAAGGGAAATTCATGGCATCTGGGCAAAACAGCTTGCGGCCTGACTCTAGGCCAGGAGTTGAGGCCTGAGAGTGAAACGAGCTGCTGTCTACAGCCGCCAGGTTCCTTGAGGGCTTGCTTAGAGCCAGCTGCCCGGGGGGGGGGGCGGCTGAGTGAAACGGGAAGCCTCACCTTGTCCTTTTGTCTTCCCCTCAGGGACACAGTGAGGGATCTGGCTTGTCCGCGTTGCTTCCGCAGCCCAAGAACTTGACGGTGAAGGAGACAAACAGGCTGCTTCTACCATATGTTTTCTCGAAGAAAACGTCGGAGGCCTCCCGGCAAGAGCAGGAGCTCAAGCTGGCCAAAGTCCCAGGGTCCTCCTCCTCCTCTAAGCCCCCGAAGGCAGCCTCTGCTGTGGCCACGACCACTCCCTCCCCGTCCGCCATCAAGGCAGCGGCTAAGAGCGCCGCCCTGCAGGTGACCAAGCAGATCACCCAGGAGGAGAACGACAGTGACGAGGAGGTGGCTCCCGAGAACTACTTCTCCTTGTCGGAGCCCCCCACTCTCAGCCCGGAGCCTTTCGCTTACCCGGCGGGGGTCCTGCCGGACGACCTGCCCCCTGGGACGGAGCCCGAGCCGGAGGGCCAGGACGCTGCCGCCAATGCCCCCCTGGAGTTCAAGACTGCACCGGGAGCAAGCTTGCAAGCTGCTCACGGGTGGGCACCAAAGCCTGGGGAAGACTACGGCAGCCAGTATCCCGGCATCGCCAGTGGTTACTATCAGGTGAGAGGGCCTGCTCTCTGGGCGCAGCTTTGCAGCGAGCCTTTCTCCCCCCCCCCTCCCCCAAGGTCAGTGCCATGACGCCAAGTGTGTGACCCGCTGGCTGTTCCATACCGGTGTGGTTACAAACAGAGCTCGGGGGGGGGGGTGACAGAGAGTGTGAGGAGGGGTGACAGAAGGTCGAGCGAGCCCGTTTGGATAGCCATGTGAGTTGCGCCACAGAGCACCGGCTAGCAGGGCTGCTGGTTTCCCAAAGAGTAAACAGTCCAGGTGAGGTGAATCGCTTCCAGGTGGTCAGGAAGCTTGCAAAGTGTGACTAGTTTAAGGGAGACTCAGGTGGGGCCTCCACGAAGGTCTGAAGCAGCAGAACAAAGTTTGAGTCTAGCCGGCTCACCCTGAAGACATGCAGAGTTTTGTTCGAGGTATGAGCCAGTTCGGTAAGTGGACTCTGACCTGGGAGAACCGGGTTTGATTCGCCACTCCTCCACTTGTAGCCACTGGATGACCTTGGGCAAGCCACAGTTCTGTCAGAGCTGTTCTCGCAAGGACAGTTCTGGAAAGAGCACTCTCAGCCCCCCCGCCTACCCCACAGGGTGTCTGTTGTGGGGAGGGGGAGGGGAAGGAGTTTGTAATCTGCTCTGAGACTCTTTCGGGTAGTGACGGGTGTGGTATAAATCCAGTCTCTTCTTCTATGCATATGAAAGTTTATACCCATCACTAAACTTTGTTGGTCTTAAAGGTGTCACTGGGCTCAAACTTTGTTCTAGTCTAAGGAAGAGGGTCTAAAGGCTGGGATGGCGAAAAGTTACAAGGGGCCAACCCCTTTGGGAAGGAAAAGGGGGAGCCGCTGGGAGGAGGGCTGAGCCGCTGGCCCCGGAGGGGCGTTTCCCCGGTCTTTAGGGGCTCCTTTTTTGTCTTCTGCCAGCAGGATTACTACACTAGTGGCTACTATCCGGAATCTGGGGACCTCGCCATGGGACCCCCCCAGGAAGTGAGCAGCGACGTCTCCTCTTTCATGGACGACGAAGCGGTGAGTGGGACTGGCCACTGGAGCCAGCCACGGCTTCTGTCCCAGGGTGCACCGCTGCGTTCAGGCCACCTGCTGACTAGCTGGCCAAGGATCGGCCGCAGCTTTGGTGGAATCGTTTTTGCTCCCATGTAAATCGAGCTTCCCCCTCACGGATCACTGCCTTGTCATGGCGAGGGGGGTTGCGTGGTTTGATGAGGCTGTGGGCTATGGCGTGGAGGGCCACCCAGGACGGACAGGCCACAGCGGAGAACTCAGACCAAGCGTGATCCCCTGGAGAAGGAAATGGCAACCCACTCCAGTATTTTTGCCAAGAAAACCCCATGGACAGTATCAAAAGGCTAAAAGATATGACCCCGGAAGATGAGCCCCTCGGTCACAAGGTGTCCAATATGCTACTGGGGAAGAGCAGAGGGCAAGTACAAGTAACCCCAGAAAGAGTGAAGCGGCTGGGCCAAAGCCGAAAGGAAGCTCAGTTTTGGATGTGTCTGATGGTGAAAGGAAAGTCCGATGCTGCAAAGAACAATACTGCATAGGAACCTGGAATGTAAGATCTATGAACCAAGGTAAGCTTGACGTGGTCAAAAATGAGATGGCAAGACTGAACATCGATATCTTGGGAATCAGTAAACTAAAGTGGACAGAAATGGGCGAATATAACTCAGAAGACCATTATATCTACTACTGTGGCCAGGAATCTCGTAGAAAAAATGGTGTGGCCTTTATAGTCAACAAGAGAGTGCAAAAGTCAGTACTGGGATACAATCTCAAAAAATGACAGAATGATTTCGGTCCGATTCCAAGGCAAACCATTCAACATCACAGTAATCCAAGTCTATGCCCCAACCACTGATGCAGAAGAGGCTGAAGTGGACCGGTTCTATGAAGACCTACAACACCTCCTAGAACTAACACCAAAAAATGATGTCCTCATCATCATAGGGGACTGGAATGCTAAAGTAGGAAGTCAAAAGGTAACCGGAATAACAGACAAGTTTGGCCTTGGAAAGCAAAATGAAGCAGGGCAAAGGTTAACAGAGTTTTGTCAAGAGAACACACTGGTCATAGCGAACACCCTTTTCCAACAACCTAAGAGGCGACTCTACACATGGACATCACCAGATGGGCAACACCGAAATCAGATTGACTATATAATTTGCAGTCAAAGATGGAGAAGCTCTATTCAGTCAGTAAAAACAAGACCTGGAGCTGACTGTGGTTCAGATCATGAGCTACTCATTGCAAAATTCAGACTTAAACTGAAGAAAATTGGGAAAACCACGAGGCCATTCAGGTTTGACCTAGATCGCATCCCTGATGAATATACAGTAGAGGTGAAGAATAGATTCAAGGGTCTGGATTTGATAGATAGAGTGCCTGAAGAACTATGGACGGAGGTTCGTGACATTGTACAGGAGGCAGCAATCACCACCATACCAAAGAAAAAGAAATGCAAGAAAGCAAAATGGCTTTCTGATGAGGCTTTACAAATAGCAGAGGAAAGAAGGAAAGCGAAAGGCAAAGGCGAAAAGGAAAGATTTACCCAACTGAACGCAGATTTCCAGAGAACAGCAAGGAGAGATAAGGAGGCCTTCCTGAATGAACAGTGCAAAGTAATAGAAGAAAACAATAGAATGGGAAGGACTAGAGATCTCTTCAAGAAAATTGGAGAAATCAAGGGAGCGTTCCATGCAAAGCTGGCCATGATAAAGGACAAAAACGGTAGGGACCTAACAGAAGCAGAAGAGATTAGGAAAAGATGGCAAGAATACACAGAAGAACTATACAAGAAAGACCTCGATGTCCTTGACAACCACGACGGTATAATCACTGACCTCGAGCCAGACATCCTGGAATGTGAAGTTAAATGGGCCTTAGAAAGCATTACTAACAACAAAGCTAGTGGAGGTGATGGTATCCCAGCTGAGCTATTCAAAGTCTTAGAAGAGGATGCTGTTAAAGTTCTGCACTCCATTTGCCAGCAAATTTGGAAAACGCAACAGTGGCCACAGGATTGGAAAAGATCAGTATACATTCCAATCCCAAAGAAGGGCAATGCCAAGGAATGTTCAAACTATCGCACAATTGCACTCATATCACATGCTAGCAAGGTCATGCTCAAGATCCTACAAGCTAGGCTTCAACAGTACGTGGATAGAGAACTGCCAGAAGTACAAGCTGGGTTTCGAAGAGGTAGAGGAACTAGAGATCAAATTGCCAACATTCGCTGGATTATGGAGAAAGCAAGAGAGTACCAGAAAAACATTCCTGGGATCCCAGATCACCGCAGACTGTGACAGCAGCCATGAAATTAAAAGACGCCTGCTCCTTGGGAGGAAAGCGATGGCGAACCTAAACAGCATGATGAAAAGTAGAGACATCACCCTGCCAACAAAAGTCCGCATGGTCAAAGCAATGGTATTCCCAGTAGTCATGTATGGCTGCGAGAGTTGGACTATAAGGAAGGCCGAGCGCCGAAGAATAGATTCTTTTGAACTATGGTGCTGGAGAAGACTCTTGAGAGTCCCTTGGACTGCAAGAAGATCAAATCAGTGAATCCTAAAAGAAATCAATCCTGACTGTTCCCTGGAAGGCCAGATAATGAAACTGAAGCTCAAATACTTTGGCCACCCAATGAGAAGGGAGCACTCACTGGAGAAGAAGACCCTGATGCTGGGGGAAAGACTGAAGGTCAAAGAAGAAGAAGGGGACGGCAAAGGATGAGATGGTTAGACAGTGTCATAGATGCAACGAACATGAAGTTGAGCAAACTTCAGAGGACGGCGGAAGGCCTGGCGTGATCTGGTCCATGGGGTTGTGAAGAGTCGGACTCGACTGCGACTGAACAACAACAAAAATCAAACTTCTTGTTGGTCTTTTGTATATATTTTATAAACCCGTGTTCTAAGTGATGCTTGCTAACTTATAAATCAGTTAGACGTGTCAAGGCCCAGGAAGAAAGAAAATTGAGAGGGAAACACACACCCCACAGAGATTTTATTCCTAAGGCTTCCCCCCACACCCACCCCAGTTTTTCCAGAGGAAAAAATTAGAAATTTCGAGGAAGCCTGGAGGGGGAAAAAATCTTCCTGTGAAATATTTTCTTACCTTTTGCTCCACAGTGAGGGGGGAAGTTCTACTATCGAGGAAGCTGAACGTTTATCTTAAAAGTTGTAGTGTTAATCCTGGCATGGGGGGGGGCAGGTCTGAGGAGTCTCTTGAGATTTATAAGGGTGTTTCAGGGCCAGTTATTCTTCCTCAGAAGGGGGTGTGTGTGTCAAAGGATTGGAGGAATATGTAGAATAAAAGGTCCATCGATCTCTCTCAGTGCTGATGTCTGAATGGGACTTCCAGACTCTTGGCTGCTGATTGCCTGGGGTGGCGGCGGCAGCAGCAGGAAGAAACCTTCTGTGCTGTGAAGAAGCGGGATGCTGGACGAGGTGGGCCCACTCGGGTCTCCTCTGACCGGGCTCTCCTTAGTCTCCAGGGGGATGGGCTGTTCCCGTCCTCACCGCAGCAGGGGTTGGATGCTTCAGGAGGACCGGAGCCTCTGTAGGAGCCAGATGATTTGCCTGAGGCATGAGCAGGCCGGTTGTGTGCTGCTGTCCGCTGAGCCGTGGGGCTGGCCTGTCCAAAGAGGAAAGGAAGAGATTTTCTAAGGAGGTCTCTAGGGCCTCCCTCTAGGAGTCTGGCCGCACTGCTTCTGTCAGGCATTCCGCCACCTGGGCACGGTCCGTGCAACTGGGTCTTTCCTCCCACTGTGGTTCCTTCCCAGGTCTCGGTGGCAAAGAAATGGAGTTAAGAATGCAGCCGTTGCAATCGTTTCCTTTTTTTAGGTAAACAAATTTTATTTTCTTAGGAAATCAACATTTATAATTATATCATTTCATCTTTTCCATTGTCTACCCCATTCCCATTTCCTCCCCTCCCTCCGGTGGCTTCCCGCAATGCTTCACCCCTTACTCCACATTACTTTACATCATTAATTATATCATTTTCTTATCATTACAGTCTCAAGATAACATCATTTGACTTAATATTGATCTAAACATATTAAGTTTTGTTTCACATCCCAGTTCTTTTCCAGATATGTTTTAAAGTCACTCCATTCTTGAAAAAACACGTCGTCTTCTTTATTATTCAACTTTTTCGTAATTTTGTCCATTTCTGCCATGAACAGAACTTTTTGTATCCAGTCTTCTATTTCTGGCACTTTCTCTGTTTTCCAAAATTGTGCATAAATCATTCTCGCTGTTGTAATTAAGTACCAGAATAAGGTCTTTTTAGTCGTATTGACTTCTTCCATTTTCAGTCCCAAAAGCAGAATTTCTGGTGCCTTTTTAAAAGAGCATTTCAGAATTTTTTGCATTTCCCTGTGGACTTTAGTCCAAAAGTCAACTGCTTTCTCACAAGTCCACCACATGTGATAAAATGAGCCTTCATGGCTCTTACATTTCCAACACTTATTTGACATATTCTGGTTCATATTTGCAATTTTTTTCGGAGTCATGTACCACCTATACATCATTTTATAACAATTCTCTCTAACATTGGTACAAGGCGATATCTTAATAGAATTTTTCCACAAATATTCCCAGGTTTCAATAGACACTTCCGTATTCATATTTATCACCCATTTTATCATTTGCCCTTTTACAGTCTCATCTTCAGTATACCATTTTAGTAACACTTTATACATTCTAGAGATATTTTTCCCCCTCCACTCTCCCAAACATTTTCCATTTCATTTTTTTCCTCTCTAAAACCATAGTTTCTTTTGTCTGATCTAAAAAGGTCAAAAATCTGCATATATTTCAGCCATTCATAATCATATTCAATTTCATTCTGCTTTTTCATTACCCATTCTGTTCCCACTTTTTTAATTAGATCTTTATATGGCAACCAATCTTTATCTCTATGTCTTGAGTAAGATGTTAACACTTCCACTGGTACAATCCACAATGGTCTTACATCACAAAAGTATTTTTTATACCTCATCCATACCACAAATAGTGCTTTTCTTACCACATGAAGCTTAAAAAAGCTATCCATTTTTGTTTTGTCATACCATAAATATGCATGCCAACCAAATCTACAATCATGGCCTTCTAACCCCAGTAACTTATCATTTTCTAATTTCACCCATTGTTCCATCCAGGTTAGACAGACCGCTTCATAATATAGTCTAAGATTTGGTAATTGTAACCCACCTCTATCTTTGGCATCACAAAGAATTTTCATCTTGATTCGCGGTTTCTTGCCTGCCCAAACAAACTTTGATAGTTCTTGTTGCCACTTAAGTAGCAAATCTGTCTTACTAAGTATTGGTATTGTTTGGAACAGGAACATCAAACGTGGTAGGACATTCATTTTTATGACTGATATTCTTCCCATCAGTGACAAATTCATTTTGTCCCATTTCTTAAAGTCTTGAGTTAACTTAGTCCATAGTTTTTCATAATTGTTCTTATATAAGTCTATATTTCTTGCAGTTAACTCAATACCAAGATATTTAGTCTTTTTTACTACTTCACATTGTACCAGGTCTTGCAGTTCCATTTGTTTTTGTTTCGTCATGTTTTTGCAAATAAGCTTCGTCTTGTTCTTATTGACATAAAATCCGGCCAATTCTCCAAAGTCCTTTATTTTTTGGAATAGTAACGGTAATTTGTCTGTCGGGTTTTGCACAATGAACATTACATCGTCAGCAAATGCTCGATATTTGTATTTAAGTCCTTTGTGTGTCAATCCCGTTATCTCTTGATCTTGCTGTATTTTTTGTAGAAGTATCTCCAACACCCAGATAAATAATAACGGTGATAGGGGACAACCCTGTCTGGTGCCTTTCTGTACCTTGAAGCTATCTGTCAGTTCTTTGTTTACATTCAGTTTAGCTCTTTGTTCAGAATAGATAGCTTCAATGCAATTTCTGAAGTGTTGTCCCACTTCTATTTTTTCCATCATTTGCAGCATAAACTTCCAGTTAAGATTGTCAAATGCCTTTTCGGCATCGATAAATAAAAAAGCTACTTCTTGTTCAGGGTGTTTCTCATAATATTCAATTGCGTCCATTACTATTCTTGGTGACAAAGGACATCCTTGCCTTGTACCGTTTTGTACCTTGAAGTTATCAGTCAGTTCTTTATTCACATTCAATTTTGCAACCGTTTCCTGAGGGAGGGTGGCAGCAGTTCTTACCACTGCATGGGCAAGGACCAATGCACCCTCTAAGCTGTGGAGTCCTGTGAGCAAAAATTCTACTTTGTGAGCTCTTGACATTGAAAGTTGTGAGCGGGCATTTTTGGCTGCTGCATCAATTAGTTTGCCCTGGAGCCCTCCTTCCTGAGCCTAAACAAAAAGGTGTGCACCGGAGGCTAAGAAACCGTTAGCTCACACTAACTCAGCTTAGAGGGAACAGTGGCGAGGAGCCGCTTAAAGAAGCGTTTTTCCCCCTTTTGCTTCTGGCCTGTTTCTCTTGCCTCCTCCGGACCCAGTGGCCCACCAGCCAACATTCCTCTTCGGGCCGCGCAGAGTCGCCTCTGGCTTGGGAGGGTCAGGTTCCAGCTGGGGCGCTCGGCTTATTTTCTCCGTTCCCCTCCCTCCCGTGACCGTGCTGGCCCGCTTGCTGGGCGCAAAGGGGAGGGGGAGGCCAGTCGGGCAAGCGGGAGGCTGGCGGAGCAGGGGGGAGCCGTGGCCGTGGAAGGCGGTGGTCCTGGCCGGGCTGGCCCTGAGGGGAGGGGGCAGAGGCAGGCGGAGAGCCGCGGGGGGGGGGGCGGGGCTTTTTTTTCGTGGGGGGGGGGGACGGGCCGCGTCTGGATGGAGGGGCAGTGCCTGGCGGGCCGCTGATGCCTCCCTCCCTCCTTTGCTCCCCGGCTCAGTTCAAGCGCCTGCAAGGCAAGCGGAACCGCGGGCGGGAAGAGATCAACTTTGTGGAGATCAAGGGGGACGACCAGCTGAGTGGAGCCCAGCAGTGGCTGACCAAGTCCCTGACGGAGGAGCAGAACGTGAGGTCCTTCAGCAAGCTCTGTGTGGGGGACCCCGGGGGGGCGGGGGGCGCTCTCTGAGGAGCTGGGGGCTTGACCCCCTGCAGGCCTCTCCCCCGGTGGGCGGGGGTGGTGGTGCTGTCTCTCTCTCTCTCACGTCTGGCTTCTCTTTCCTCCGCTCTAGAAAAAAGGGGAGCAGCCCACTGGGCAGCAGCGCCGGAAGCATCAGATCACCTACCTGATCCACCAGGTGAGGTTATGGGGCCCCGACTCCCCCCCCCGCTCTGGCTCTTCGCCCTCCACCTCAGGGTGGCCTCTTGAATGACGTGAGCCCTCGCGCCTTACACGGCCGCTGGGCATGCTGCCCGGGGCGGCAGAGGGTGTGGGTTGTCCTGGGGACTGGCCCCAAAGCTGCGGGGGGAGCCGACTCTTAGTTCCCGGCACCTGCAGGCTGGGTGAGGCTCCTGTGTGTGCGCGCCTGGGCAAAGGAGGGGGCCTGGGCACCGAGACTGTGGCAGGGGAGCCTGGCAGGCGGGGGGGGGCCTGTAGCCTCTGTGGAAGGGGCAGGGCAGTGACCGGCCCGTGTCCATCCCCCCCCCCCCCACCAGCTCAGCCTCTCCTCTTGGCTCCAGCTGGAGGAGGGGTGGCTCTGTGGGCTGTTAGGAGCGTGAGAGAAGCCATGTTGGATCAGGCCAAGTGTCGGACAGTGGCCATGCCTCGGGTGCCTTCTTCCTGGGTTTCCCCCCAGTGGAGTCAGGGTGGCGGCTGCTCCTCCAGGCACACGCTCTTCGGGAAGGGAGTTGCCCGGCAGAAAGATGTGTGTCTGACACCCCCCGCCCATCCCTCTCCCCATCCCTCTCTTTCTGGGCAGGCAAAAGAACGGGAGCTGGAGCTGAAGAACACGTGGGCGGAGAACAAGCTCAGCAGGCGCCAGACGCAGGCCAAGTACGGCTTTTAGGCTGCCCCTGCCCGTGCCCAGCTGGCCCCGGAGCCAGTCCTCTGGGGGGGGCCCCGAGTCCTGCCCCCCCTCCCCGCTGTGTGCTGCAGGAGGGCAAAGGGCGGGGCTGCTTAGCGGCCTGGCGAGGGAAGGACTGGAGGCTGCGGATATCCGTTGCCGGCGCTGCCTGCTTCTTCGATGACGGCACGTGGGACCCGGAAGGGCATCTCTGTCGGGTGGTGGCCGCGGGGACTCCGTGGTGTGGCAGAACTGGCGGGGGGGTGTTGAACCGTTGTGCGTGCCGACTGCCCGGCTTCCGCCTCCGACTAGTTTCTTTGCTGCGGCCGTCAGAAAAAAAGACGAGGACCGACTGGGAGGCGGAGGCCAGCCCCCTGCACCCTTTCTGGGGAACTGTGCAGCCGATGCAGAGTCCGATGGTTCTCTGGAAGGAGCGGTGGAAACAGGAGGTGGAGGCACTTGGCTCTTCCCCCCCCCCCCAAGCAAAAATTGTTTTTGTGTTCACGTTCCAGGCCGGGCTTCCCCCTCCCGTGTTTTTGTAGCGTAGCAGACAGCGGCTTCATTCCCGTCTCCCTGTGGGGGAACTGTTCTGACACCATCCCAGACCTCCACGTCGAGGTGGCAGCATTGCTTTCGGGAGTTAATCTCTCCCCCCAAAGCCATAGGACCCAGGACTGTTACTCCCGAGGTTCGGGCGCACGGGCGGGGGGCAGTGGAGCCCCGCAGCATCTGGCCGTTTGGGCACACTCACCCCCCCCGGCAGCCTTGCCCCTGTGTTCTTCCGGGGGGTGGGTGGGTCACCCTCTGTGTCCCTTGGAGAAAGCTGCCACCCTTGACTCTGGAGTTCCTGAGTGAGTGGGGGGGTGTCTGTGTTTGGGGAGGGGGCGTTTTTTTTTTTTTTTAAACACCCAATTTCTAGTTTTATTTCCCAGGACCTTTTAGTAGGAAAAAAAATTGCTTTCTTTGAGTATTCCAAAAATAAAGTGCTCATTCAATAATTTATTCGTATCTTACGAAATTGTCTGGAAAAGTTTTATAAAGGAATAAAACTTTTAAATGAACCCACCTCCTTTCACGCTCTCTAAGAACCCTCTGGTGGTGGTGGTGGTGGTGGGGGCCTGGCTGGCTGGGAGACACCCCTCCTGTCTGTGGGAGGAGAGGGGTAGGGACTTCCCTGCTCCCGGTCTCCCTCCCGTCACTTCCTGTCCCTCCCTAGGCCCCCCAAGTAGGGGGTGGAGAGGAGGATTTGGGGATCCAGAGAAACGGCACTGGAGGGGGGCGGCTGTGGGGGGGGAAGGCCTTGCTGCTGGCAACTTGGTGGTGCTGCACCACTGGAAGCCCTGCCTCTCCTCTCAGACTAGGACAGCAAAACCTCCCGGAGGGAATCTTGGGGGGGGGGGGAATGTGAGGAGCAGCATCATGTCCTCCTTGGAGCTCTCATTTTGTGGGGGTGGGGCACACTCGTGCTGGGCTCCAGGCGCTGGTCGTCTTCCCAGCACTTCGGCTGCAGGCCCCAGTGACACCAGCCAGGCCTGTTCGGCAGCCAGGCCCCAGGTTCCAGTTGTAGCGTCTTGGCAGCAGCCCCTCCTGATGTTGGGGGGGGGGCTTAATGCCCATGTGGGGGCTGCTCCCTCCCCCCCAGGTGGGAGGTAGTGTAAAAGTATCCCTGACTATCTGCATGTCCATCTCAATCAGTTGGGCCCTCTGCTGTGGACAGTGGGGGTGGTTCTTCTGCTAGCTGCCTGGTCCTGGAGCAGGACTTTGGATACCGAGGGGTGGGGATGGGATTCTTGGTTGAATGTTCAAATGGTTGGTCTGTTGCAGCCTGTGACGACCCCTTTCTTGGGGGGGGGGGTCTGGTTTCCCTTTAAAAGTGTTCTTTATGTTTTACTCTCAGGGTAATCTGGCTGCCACCGGGAAAATATAGGCTTTCCAAACCTTTATACTTTCTTCGTCTGGTTTTGGTATTGTGACCCAGGGTCTGGGCTTTCATGAAGGTCTATGTGGTCTGAGGAAGGATTCTTTACTGAGCTGGTATACTTGAAGAAAATAGGATTTATTTAACGAAAGTATAAACACGAGGGTAAACAATGTAAACAGTACTGGGAATGATTTGAACAATGGCTTGGTGTCTCTCACAAGCTTCTCTCTACTGACAGGGATTTTTCATAGGCAACTTTTGTAACACTTTTCACTGTACTTTTCCCTAGACTCTCAGCTTTCAATTGTAACTCTTATAACACAGAACTAAATGTCACTCTTTTCACACACAGGGATGAGTCTCCTTCAACTCAGAGACAGAACTTAACTCCTCTTCTGCTTCTCTCACAGAAACCAGAACTCAAACTCCTATCAACTGCTTTTACACAGCACTCTCTGCTGACTGACTTTTTCAACTGTCTGCCTAACTGTCTAAACTCTAACAGTCACTCCTGATAGACATTCAAATCATCCACACAGCATCCATTCCAAAACCCCTCCCCTCTCTGTCACTCACCAATCACACCACTTGCCTGTTTCAACCACACAGCAATGTAAACCAAACTTTTAAAGACACACACACAAATAAACATGAAATCGTTACATAGCCCTACCCACCCGGCCCCCCCAAAGGCCACAGGGAAAGGCATTCGGTCCACGTGGGAGTTGCTTGTGCGGTCTGTAGCACCGCTGCCCAAAGGAACGGTGTTGCTCTGCCCAGTTGGGGGGGGGGTTATTTCTGCTCCTTCTCTTGTATGCTCTCTCCCCCCCCTCCCCCCCCCTCCCCCCCAGGCGCACACCTTCGAAAGGATGGGCTTGTGGATCTTCTGCTTTCCCTTCAGAATGGAACTTTCTGGCAGCCCTGATAAGAAGCTGAAAGCCAGGATTGCTACTGCTGGGGCTTTATTCCCTGAACATTCACAACACGAAAGTAGGGAACTCTTGACGCGCGTATTTGGGTGAAGCGTCCCTGCATCGCAGCAGGAAAAACAGGCTTGCCACTTCAGGGTGGTGGGGGGGGGGGGGGAGAAACAGCCCTGGAGAGAAAACTTTCTGTGAAGGTGAAGCCGGCTGGTCAAGGGGTGCTGCTGGCCCCACTCTCGACTCCATTTCCAAGGGGCAGCCGTGTGAGTCTGTTGCAGGAGTCCCAGGGCACTCAAAAGCCTTTGGGAGGGAGACTCCTTCACATGCAGCTGCTGATGTGGCCTTGGGTCAGTCACAAGTTCTCTCAAGAGCAGTTTTCTCAGGAAGAGCTCTCTCAGCCCCACCTACCTCACAAGGTGTCTGTTGTGGGAAGGGGAAGGGAAAGGAGATTGTAAGCCGCTCTCCAATCTCTTCTTTCTCCCTAGTTTTTACTGCCCTGAACAATTTAGTGTCCTCTGTAAACTTAGCCATTTCACGGCTTACTCCCAACTCCAAATCATTAATGAACAAGTTAAAAAGTACTGGACCTAGTACCAAGCCCTGCGGTACCCTACTGCTTACCATCTTCCACTGAGAAAACTGTCCATTTATACTCTCTCTGGTTCCTGTTAATTGACCGATTTTTAATCCACAAGAGGACTTGTCCTCTTATCCCATGACTGCTGACTTTACTTAGGAGCCTTTGATGAGGAACTTATCAAATGTTTTCTGGAAGTCTAGGTAAATAACATCTCCTGGGTCACCCTTGCCCACGTGTTTGTTCACCCCCTCAAAGAACAACGCTTAAAAGGTTAGAACAAATGTTGAGTGCAGTGGCACTAAGACCAACAAAGGTTTATCAAAGGCATGAGCTTTTGTGTGCAAGCACACTTTCTCAGATACATTCACATGGAAGTTAACAGTTCATATATATAGGCAGATGCCTCTACATAGGTGAACAGCAGATTAACATACAATTAATGAAGATGTTTTGACATATGCAGACTAGGGGTGTGCATTTGGTGAAGCCAAACCAACCCCCTCCCACCGAAAAATCCCTTTTCAGCTTTTTTCAGGTATTTGGCAAGCCAAATCAGAATGGTGAATAAAAGCCGAACTATTCAGATTTTATTCGGCATTGCCGAATACAGGCTTGAGAGGAGGTTAAACTTTGAAGGGCTGCACTTACCCTCTCTTTCCTGCCCCTTCCTCTGCTTTCCAGAAGTGAGGGGGAAGAGGGACCTTACATACAGCCAATCACTGCAGTGCATTTCCAAATGGCATTTCAGCTTGCAAGACTTTTGTTGCTGCTGGCTTCAAACTTAAAGCCCAACTACTAGCTTGCTTTTTCAGGGACAGGAGGGTGAGGAGCACTGTCCAGTAAGATTACAGGTAAGGGTGAGCACATTGATCTTTGGCCAGTCACATAAGTTAGTTCTTTTTTGAAATTCTTCTGTGCATTGTTGTGATGATTCTGTGCTTAAGCTGACAACAGTCCTCCTGTTGAGCTGGCATTTGTCACAATGGTACTGGTTTCTGTTGATAGGTAGGTTGGCACTGAGTTCTGCTGCTGGGCACTGGAACTAGAACATTCCAATGGTTGTGCTGCTGGCCTTGCAAACATGCCCCCTGACACCACACCTCACTTCATTTCTACTGCAGAGATTCTCTGAGAGAAACTGCTGGGCTGTCGTTTTATCTGCTTGCCTTTGGAAACAATGGAGGATAGGGGCACCCTCTTTGGATGCTCCTAGAATTGGACCCCCTGGTGCAAACTTTTCCAAACTTGGCAGTTCTTTTGGGGTGAGGCTCCAGGAGCTACAGTACAAATTTTGTGCCTCTACCTCAAACCCCCTCCCCCTAGCCCACTGAATACTCCTTAGAAGATTTTGCCATTGACTACTATGGCAGGTCCTTAAAGAGATGGGAGTACCAGACCACCTCACATGTCTCTTGAGAAACCTGTATAAGGGCCAAGAAGCGACAGTTAGAACCGGATATGGAACAACTGATTGGTTCAGCATAGGAAAAGGAGTATGACAAGGATGTATATTGTCACCTTGCTTATTTAATATATATGCAGAGTACATCATGCGAAATGCTGGCCTGGATGAATCACAAGCGGGAATTAAGATTGCTGGGGAAAAGATCAACAACCTCAGATATGCAGATGATACCACTCTAATGGCTGAAAGTGAAGAGGACCTAAAGAGCCTCTTGCTCAGAGTAAAAGAGGAGAGCGCAAAAGTGGGCTTGAAGCTCAACATCAAAAAAACTAAGATCATGGCATCCGGCCCCATCACTCCTTGGCAAATAGAAGGGGAAGTCGTGGAAGTAGTGACAGACTTCACGTTCCTGGGATCCCAGATCACCGCAGACTGTGACTGCAGCCATGAAATTAAAAGACGCCTGCTCCTTGGGAGGAAAGCGATGGCGAACCTAAACAGCATGATAAAAAGTAGAGACATCACCCTGCCAACAAAAGTCCGCATGGTCAAAGCAATGGTATTCCCAGTAGTCATGTATGGCTGCGAGAGTTGGACTATAAGGAAGGCCGAGCGCCGAAGAATAGATTCTTTTGAACTATGGTGCTGGAGAAGACTCTTGAGAGTCCCTTGGACTGCAAAAAGATCAAATCAGTCAATCCTAAAAGAAATCAACCCTGACTGTCCCCTGGAAGGCCAGATAATGAAACTGAAGCTCAAATACTTTGGCCACCAAATGAGAAGGGAGCACTCCCTGGATAAGACCCTGATGCTGGGAAAGATTGAAGGTCAAAGAAGACGGGGACGGCAAAGGATGAGATGGTTAGACAGTGTCATCGATGCAATGAACATGAAATTGAGCCAACTTCAGAGGACGGCGGAAGACAGGAGGGCCTGGCGGGAGATGATCCATGGGGTCGCGAAGAGTCGGACTCGACTGTGCGACTGAACAACAACAACAACAACGATGGCCTCATAGGATATAACGGAGCCGAATTTCTTTGGTATTCCTGAATATTTCCGGACACCAAGACATTACCAGTATTGATATTCACATATATTCAGGAATACCGAAAACATTTGGCTCCATTATACCCAAATCTGAAAAATACTGAATTCCCCCCCCTGCACACCCTTAATGCAGACTAGACAGCAGTAACAAGCTAAGTTCATACAGTCGCCATTGTTTTGGA